TAGGGATCGTCAACACTGGGATAATCGACGCTGGAGCAATGTGATGTTTTCAGATGAGTCAAGGTTCACTGATGATTTTTTGGACAGACGTAGGAGGGTGTGGCGTCGTCGAAACGAGCGCTTCCAAGACGTTAACGTCATCAGACATGATCGATTTGGGGGTGGTTCTGTTATGGTGTGGGGAGGCATCACTGTTGCTGGAAGAACGGCTTTACATGTTGTTGCAGGGCGTGTTACAGGCCAGTACTACCGGGACAACATCTTGGCAGTCCATGTTGTGCCGTTCGCACGACGTCATGGCCGCCGTTTCATCTTCCAGGATGACAACGCAAGATGTCACAGGGCCAGGATCGTTACAGGTTACCTCCAACAACAGAACATCACCACATTACCTTGGCCAGCACTGAGTCCCGACCTCTCCCCCATCGAGCATGTCTGGGACATGCTTGGACAGAGGTTACGTCAACGTCAACAACGTCCTGCCAATGTCCAAGAACTTGCTGCTGCGTTGCAACAGGAATGGGACAATCTGGACCAAAATGACCTTAGACGTCTCATTAGGAGTATGCCACGTCGGATCAATGCTTGTTTGGCAAACAGAGGAGGATTTACCCGTTACTGACTTGGTTGTGATGCTGTGGTAACTTTGCTGTTTGACCCCGGGTATCATTTTACCCTTATAATGGTCAGTCTGTGCCTTACTTAGTCTAACGATCATTTGGAATAAATCGATGAATGTGAACTTCATTTCATTTTGTCATTTGTTTCTTCGTCAGTTTCATTAGGTGACTTTAATAACACTTAAAAATCAAATATCCCCTACTTTTTTTGAATAGTATATATTAATAACGTTCAAAGAATCATAAGCTAAAACGCTACGAAAGTTATGTTAAACGAACATAGTTTACTGACGTTTACAGCTCGTTTGACCAGGCTCGGGAAATAACGTTGAATCAGACGGTTCATTTGACGTTCTCGGAACAACTAATCCCAACGTTTCTGAAGTAAAAGTCGCTAGAACGATAATAATTAATGCTTAGTAACGCCCCACAGTATCAAGGATATAACGTAAAAAAACGAGTTTGAACCATTGATCTTATGTTTTAATGCAACGTTTTAAAAACTAAAATCCAATAATCAATATAACGTCACAAACAAATATATTAATAACGTTCAAAGAATCATAAGCTAAAACGCTACGAAAGTTATGTTAAACGAACATAATTTACTGACGTTTACAGCTCGTTTGACCAGGCTTAGGAAATAACGTTGAATCAGATGGTTCATTTGACGTTCTCAGAACAACTAATCCCAACGTTTCTGAAGTAAAAGTCGCTAGAACGATAATAATTAATGCTTAGTAACGCCTCACAGTATCAAGGATATAACGTAAAAGAAACGAGTTTGAACCATTGATCTTATGTTTTAATGCAACGTTTGCCAATGATGTAAGATGTAAAAAAAAGATGTAAAATGGAAATACAACATTTTACGAAATTTATTTTAAGGTGTTTATTTTCGTTTAATTTCAACGCTTTTAGATGAGGAAAATGGAACGTTTTAAAACTGAAATCCAATATAATCAATATAACGTTACAAACAAATATATTACTAACGTTCAAAGAATCAGAAGTTAAAACGCTACAATAGTTACGTTAGAAGAACATAATTTACTGACGTTTACAGGTTGTCTGGCCAGGCTTGGGAAATAACGTTGATTCAGGTGGTTCAGTTGACGTTCTTGGAATGAAAGTACAATTAAAACGTCAAAAGATAACATTCTGGCGATGTTTCTGGAACGTTTATAAAAAGTACAGTCTATCTCTGAACCCTTTTCAAACGTTTGGAGAACGTGCTAACCATATTAGAACCAATTACGAATGTTACCAAAACGTTTTGTGTTTGCTGGGTTTGAATTTGTGGTTGAATTACAGCCAGGAATGTTTTTTTTCACCAATAAATAGTTATTTTGTACATTTCGAGGATATCTAACCTTTTTTGTTTAAAGTCAAACTTAGAACATGTCAGGCCAATGAGACCACACTCTGATACAAAACTGTTGTAGATGTGTAAATGTCAGCTTAATGTTCAATATTTTCTTATCAAAATCTAGGATTTGTAGTGTTTGTTGCATTTATGTTACTTATAGAACAGTAAAATGTTAATTTTGCTCCTTTCCAGGCCTCCTTTATGTTGTCAACTCTGTCATAACTACTTTTTTGACTTCATTTTTTCAGGAAATTGATGTAAAGGTCCAGACATCTTGCTCCAACACAAGAATTGTAATAAAGATTTGTATGATGCCTCTGAGCTTTAAGATGTTGAAAACATTGAAATATTTCCAAATATTTATTGCACATATTTTAGTTTATATGTACATATGTTAGCCAGGGATGGTAAAACATAGCTGTTAGACAGATTCCTTTGGCAATGTTAGTTCTGCAACCAATGATTAGATTGATTCAGTCAGTGACATGTTTAGGGGGTGGGGATACATGTTTCAGTATAGATCTCTAATATTATAATCAATGCAACAGATTTGTGATTTTTCTGTGTGCATTTTGTCCAGGGTTTCTAAAAACATATTCCTTGCCAATCTGGCTATCTAACAAAGTGGAAGATTATTGGTTTTTTGAAAGATGCTACATGTAAATTTTGTACATTTTTCATGACATGGCTGTAAAAAGTTATATTTTTGAAAAAAAATCCAGATTATGAGTGTTTTCTGTGTAATTTGTTTGTAACTTGTCTAATTTTTTCACAGAACTCAAATACTACCTTTAATAAGAAGGATTTTTTAAATTTTAGCACAAAAGGCCCATAGACCTGACATGCACCGCGGTACATAATGCAGCATGTATACTTAAAGGGCCATCATATTGACAGTTATTCTTTGATTTTGATTTTCTTTCACCGGTTTGTTGCCAGAACATATGGGAAGCATATAAAAAGGCCTTTTGGTGATACCTGAAGTTTCACCCCTATATAGGACACAGCTCATGCATGGCGATTTTTGTTGACTTTTTGGTGTATCTCAAGTTTTTCATGGTGAACCTCATACATGCTGTTGAGCAAGAGTTTGGCAGAAAGCGTTCTACCCAACGAAAATTTGGGAAAAGGTTAGAAAAAAAATATATAAAACGATTTAACTCTCAGTTAAACATATAAGTAAAATTCAAGTATTAGAGAAAAAACACTAAAAATTAAAATTTTGTCTAGTACTTTCATCGTTATCAGACTATTTTAATGAGAGTGTGGTTCCAGGTGCCAATGGCGTTCATCTCCATGTACAGACACTGCGCTGCTATTATTGACACTCGCAGTGGACACACCAGATACTGATGTATAGACTATGTTCAGACTCTAAATCTTCTCGTAATACTGTTCACAAAAAATTGCTTTGATTTGATTAAAGTGCCTCTCTGATTTTGAAATCGTACTGACGTTTTTTTTATAACTGCAATATCTATTTGTACATGTAACCCGTTTTTAAGAATAATTACGTACATGTATGCATAATTATTAGGTATGTATTTTGTAAATTTGTAGAAAAAAACATTCGACACTCATCATTCCATTCATTCTATATTAGATTTGATTTCAACGTATCAACGTGTAAACGTGTTATTCTGCAGAATGTGTGTAATGACTTGTACTGGTAATGAATAACGAAAATAATAAACGCTTAATAAAACGAAATAATGAGGTTTAAACAGATTGTTTTAAAAGAGGGACACACCATAACTTTGCAGCTATAAGACCAATAGACTATTATTTTTGAGTTTGTGGAGATTACATGTTTTCGACGAAGGTGGTCGAAACAAAAACCCAAACTGCTGACCGAGTCAAAACGGCAAAATAATGCTATAGACCAAGGAAGTAAATTTGTCAAATTTTATTGCGACGTAAATCGCAGTCATCGTTCCGTCGGTGTTAAATCGTTATCGGTGTCATAAAGAGAAGGCAGATCTTTATAAAAAAATATAAAAAAAAAATGACGTTTTCATCATGTAAATACATAATACTACAGTACAATGCTAGTAAAGACAAATAATACACTGCTATATTAATTAATGATATTATCTTAAATTCACAGTATAGATCCAAATATACGTGTAAAGCATTGTTCAAGAAATTGTACTTTGACAATTCATCTATTTGCAGTGGACGTTTCTGAAGCACTTGTATGAGAATTATCAGCTGATTTAATAATCAATGCCATTGCTTTATGAATACGCCTCCAGTGATATATCCACTGGACGATAGTACCCTACTTTCCAGAAATGAATACTGACACAACTGGGGGTGAGTTAGTCTAAGTCTAGACTCTAAGTTAGTAGTAGGATAATGCAAGCTACTTCATTACCCTGGTATATAGGATGGAGATATGTACCTTCAATGTATTGAAGCTACAGAGCACTATCGTCTCTTTCGACCTGCTCCATAAATCTTCATTAATTGGCAGATACGCCCCATTTCTAAATACGATATAGATACACCAAGTAAACATCTTAAATGTTTTTGATTTCTGAATTTATTTCTTCTCTAAATCATATTTCTGGTTGTAATTACAAATCAACCACTAACCCGTAAGTTATTATATTTTTCTTACGTTTAACACATATAACGAATAACAATTTACAAATAAGTTCTTGACTTGACATTAAGTATGGTTTTACATATACAATACGCATGACATATCAGGGAATTCAAAATTTATTCGACAGCTAATCGCACATTCGAATCCAAATTTAAATTACCCATTTTACCATGGTATATTTTCCCGCTTTTAACACATACTTTGAACTTATTATCTCCTGTTTACATTTTTAACAACACGACACGAAAAATCCAGAAATAGTTTAAACCATTGCATAGATGTTTCTGTAAAAAGAACCACCCAACAACCATGCAACCTAGCTACCTACACACATTCATTCGGATACATTAAAAGTCACTTATTTCTTCCACAGAACCCTGTTTGATAAGAATATTTGACATTTATTCTGGATTCTTGTTTATTTAAAGTTTCTATAAACTACATATCTGTACATAATAGTACTAAGTTACATAACATTAGATGCACAACTATATCTTTAGGAAACAAAATGATAAATCACCCGAATTACGTAATACAGAGATTGCTTATAGTATTTTCAAAGGTCTTTGCGTGATCTTTGCTATTCTCGCCTATGTACATATTATTTACGAAGGTGTTTCTGTAAAAAAGAACCACCCAACAACCATGCAACCTAGCTACCTACAAACATTGATTTGGATATGTTAAAAGTCACTTATTTCTTTCACAGAGCTCTGTTTGATATAAGCATAACTGACATTTATTTTGGCTTCTTGTACATTTAAAATTTCTATAAAATACATATCTGTACATAATAGCATAGTAGGCTTAAAGGGCTTTGCATGATCTTTGCTATTCTCCCCTAATGATTTACTTATATTACTGTTCAGCCCAGAGATTGAACATTCTAAGAAATAACATCAATACAAAAGATGATGAAGTGAGTAAAGTTAACAACATTTAAAATATAAGATTTCTGGCAACATAATTACACAAAATTAGAAACATATCAGGCACTTCTTTAAAACAAAAACATCACAGTAAGTTTGATAACGTTATAGAAAGCATTAGGGTATAGTAATACAACGGTGGGACAGAGTGTAAGTTAGAAAACGTATTTCTTCTCTTTTCAGGACTTAAGTGTATTATCAAATCAAAATGAAGAACGCCGACGAGGATACAGTTATAGATATGAAGTGAAACACGGTCGCATTATTGCAAAAGCTTGCGGTTAGAAAATTGCGGCTGAAGCAATGCTAAAGCTAAATCATGCAGGGACGTAGCCAGGTTCGGGCTTTGGATGGAGGCGTAAGTGTGAACAGTGGGAGATATGCTTAAGTTTTTTTTGTTCTGAACATACCAAGGTATCCACAGAACGTCTTTTATTTTCACCTCGCCAAGTCGTCGCATCCCCAGCCTACGTCCGTAATAATATTGCTTTGAAAACGAACTACTACTACTATTTACCTATAGAGGAGCTGACATGTAACCTGTCTTAGCTTGTCGAAATCCTTTCGGCGTCTTCTTGTTCCGTTTGTTTTTGGGACTGGCTTTATCGTGAGGCCTTGGACGATCTCGGTCTATTCTAGACTTATAGTTCGACTGCTGATCGGCTTTCACGTTCGCCTTCTGTTTCAGCGTCTCAAAAGCTTTGGGGAATCCGTTCATGATTCGGTTGTCGGAAACATTCACTTCGCGGATTGCAGGGAGTTTACAGATGCTCTCTGGTAAAGTTTCTATGATGTTGTCCGAAAGGTCCAACACTTCCAAAGACTGCATCCTTAACATATCTTTTGTGGGCATAGCCTTGAGGTCGTTTCCAGCTGCTCTCAGGATCTGTAGACGATACAGATAAGGGAACTGAACCGTGAACGCATCAATATGATTCTCATTAACGTTCAACTCTTTCAGAGATGCCAAAACGTCAATTCTATCCTTTGGGAAGGTGACAATCTCGTTGTGGGATAGATCTAGCAGCATCAGCTTGTTTAGGTCCCCAAAGTCATCTGGAAGAAGAACCATCTTGTTGTGTGACATAATGAGTGTCTCTAGGGAAAATAGTTTTACAATTCTAGGTTGGAATACGGAAATTTGGTTGTAGGAAACATCCATGTATTTTAACTGTTTTAGGTCATCAATTACGATTGGTATTTCAGTGATTTCGTTGTTGCTTGCGATCAATTCTTGCAGCCTTTTTAGTTTCTTGATGTTGTCCGTGAGGGATTTAAGGTGATTCTTGGAGACGTTGAGGTGTTCCAAGAACCGTAAGTTAAATACTGCTGGTGGTATTTCGTCTAACTGTAAATCTGTCGTTACAAGCCTGGTCAGTGTTTTCAAGTGGTCCTTGTCCCCGACCACTACCATAGGTGATTTAAGATCGGTCGGATTCACCGTTAAGGGGTTATCTGAGAGATTGAGATTTGTCAATGTTTTGGGTAGATTCAGCTCTGTCATACCGTTACTGCTGACGTCCAAAGAGTAAATCTGGTAGAGATACTCTATCGATTTAGGCATTGCAGCTATTTCATTATGACTCATGTGAAACACTTCTAAGTTTCGTAGTTTTCTCAGATCCTGGGGCAATTTTGCTAATCGGTTGTAAGAGATATCAAGAGACGTCAGCACTTGCTCCTCGCCGACACTCTCCGGGAGGATGGAAATTTTATTTTTGGCAATGTTCAACTTTTTCAGTGCTTTTAAGTGACCGATACAGTCCGGCATATCTCGTATGCCGTTATCCGAGATATCTAATGTGATCAGGGACTTCATTTCTTTGATTTCCGAGGGAACAACTTCTATAGCGTTTCCGCCCACATAGAGATGCTCTAGGGTCATCAAGGTCACTGCAAATTTCATGGACTTGAGTATATTGTTGGAAACATTGAGAGATAGAATGCATGGCAAATCCTTTGTGCTGGTCGGCAGGAACTCGATCTCATTGTGGGACGCGTCCAGTTCTTCGAGCTTCTTTAATCTGTGAATATCATCTGGCAGCACGGCTATTTCGTTGTGAGCAAACTTAAAAGTGGTCAATGCATACCCTAAAGCGCAGATTTCGTCGGGAAGGGCCTTCAGGTGATTATTGGATATATCTAAATAGTTGAGATACTTCACCTGTCCCAACTGAGGTGGAACTTCATCCAAGGAATTGTGCGAAAGGTCGAGCCAAGTCAAGCACTGGAGTTTGGATACAGAATCAGGAATAAAAGTGATGGTGTTGTAGCTCAGATCCAGTTTTTTGATCTGGGGTTTCTTAACGCTCACATTAGGAATATCACGAATTCGATTTCCAGAAAGATTCACAAATGCAGACATATCGTAAACTCCCTTTTTGAAAGATCTGATAATATTATAAGAAACGTCTACATGTGACAAAGAGTTCGATTTTCCGATATTTTTCGGTAATGTCCTTAATCTGTTTTTAGAAGCGTAAAGCGTTTGAAGAGCTGTGCTTTTATGAATTGCGGGTGGCAGTCTTTTTATATTATTGTTCGTTACGTCCAATATTTTAAGTTTCTTCATTTTAGCCAAAGATGCAGGAAATGCTGACAGGTTGTTATTTCTAACGTTAATATTCTCCATATTGTGTAGAGCTTCGATGGATTTTGGTAGTCGTTTTAACCTGTTATTCTCGGCGTTAAATTTCACCGACAGGAGAGATAACTCTTCGTTATCATAAATTTCAATGGGCAAGGATTTCATGTTGGCTGTTCCAAAAGACAAAAACACCTTCTTACCATCCGGCATACGTCGGATGTGACTCTTCTTTAAGGGTTCCGGAAGAGCAATAATCTTACTGCCTGGTCCTGTAGCCGGTGGTGGCTTTTCCTCCTTCTTACGGCGAAATCGTTTACTCATTTTATTGATTTTTCTATACAACCTGAAATGATAAACAAAAGAGAAATAATTTGACACACTTCAACTTGTAATTTTATATTCTATTATGTCCATGAACACTGACGTCAGGGTTAGAAGCGACTTTATGGACAGCGATTACATGTTTAAAAGTGATGGGTACGATATCTCGACACGAAATGTATGTTTAGAAGCAATGGACACCTTCTTAATGTCTAGAAGTGATGGGTATGACATCTCGACTCTATGGACACTGACTTAATGTTTAGAGGTGATGGGTATATCTCGACTCTATAGACACCGACTTAATACTTAGAAGTGATAGGTATGATATCTCGAATCTATGGACACCGACTTAATGCTTAGAAGTGGTGGGTATGGTATCTCAATTAGGTGTGTTCCCACTTAGCCGGCAGACTGTTAATCCATTGATTGATCTTAAAACTATAGTCTGTTTAAAAGTAGTCACTCGAGAACTGTTCACTAGTGTTCAGCGTTAATGAGCTCTTAATCCCTCTTAATAAAATATATTAACCAACTAATTAATGACATTTTGAACACAGTTCATGCCGGCGTTATGATTTCAAACATGAATTCAATTCACTATATTAATATAAATAGATGGTCGATCTGTGTCGAAATTATATTTATTTTAAAATGGCAAATGTTCAGGTTAATATTCGCTTTATCTACAATAATCGAGGTGGTCGATATTTAATACACAATGGTTACAAGTTCAGTATAAAGTCAAGCAGACCAAATGCCGTCCATTGGAAATGTTCAACAAAAACTTGTCCAGCTCCTGTAAACACCAAGAATGATGTTCTTACCACTGTAATGCTATTTAATAAAAGTTAAATGTGTAAATTGTAATGCATTTTATATGTGTAAATCATTTAATGTTATTTAATAAATATTAAATTTGTTAAAATCAATATATTTTTATATGTGTAAGCTATTTATTTAATAAAAGTTAAATTTGTTAAAATCAATACAGTTTTAGTCTTTAAAAAGATATGGACTATAGTTTATAACACCATTGTTCTAGGATTAACTCTGGATTAGCGGCAAAATTTGACATCAAAGCCTGCCGGCTAAGTGGGAACACCCCCTCAATTCTATGGACACCGACTTAATGTTGGCAGCGAGAAGTGAGCTCGATATCCGTCTTTCGTTATTAGCGAATAACGAAAAACTAACTGCTCGTTTTGCGATATTGCGAATTGAAACACATTTCATTAAATCAAATAATAAAACTAATTTATAAATCGTAAATGAGGATGCCTGGGCAGTGAATTCACATAAAAATGCTTTTTCCTTTTTAATTGGCGAGCAACGAATAAGCAGCTCGTTTTTAGATATTGGCGAATAACAAAAACAAGCTACTCTTTCGAGGATATTCAGGTGTAAATCTTAAATAAGCAGAATCTAGGGATGGATATGTAGAGAATAATTGTGAAACCCATCTCCTTCAATAGATTTGGGGGTTTTTTTATTGATAAAAAAGCCGACGGATTGGACTTCTGTAACAAAACGACACGGACTATTAGATGTGAATCTCAGATAATCAGACCAGTGGGATAGATATACAGAGAATAAGTGAGAAACCCATTCCAATAAATCAGTTTTTGAAAAACTAACCGAAGATGTCTGAGCAGTCGATTCACATAAAGACTGCATTTTCTCTTTGATTTTTGATATTGGTTAATGTCGAAAAGTGACATTCGCCAATATCGTAAAACAAACAGAAAAGGTTGTTTTTATGTGAATCCACTGCAGATTCATCTTAAAACAGGATTTTTCTGTTAGTTTTACACATTTAATTGAATGAAATGGGTTTCTCAATCCTTAGATTCTGCTTATTTGAGATTCACATCTGATTATTCACGAACGAGTAGCTTGTTTTTCGTTATATATGAAAAAGGAAAAAAGCAGTTTTGTGTGAATCCACTGCTCGGGCGTTCTCATTTATGATCTCTTTATTTCGTTTTAGAAAACTGATTTAATTAAATATGTTTGGTAGACATTCTGTAGATATACTTGTATTTTCGTTATTCGCCGATATCGAAACACAAGGAGAAAGAGCAGTTTTTATGCGAATCCACTGCTCAGACATCAACATTTATGATTTCTGTAGTTCGTATAGAAAACAGATTTAATTAAACGTGTTTGGGAGACATTCTACAGATATATATCCTTAAAATCAGCTTTTTTTTAGATTTAAATTTTAATATGAAAAAACGAGTTACTTATTTTTCTTTATTGGTCAATATTGATAATTGAAATAGAAAAGACAGTTTTATTAAATCCAATGCACAGGCGTTCACATTGATGGTTTCTAAATTTGATTTATAAAACTGTATTGATTATCAATGATGACATATGTTTGGGAGACATCTTTAGATCAGCTTTTTTGACATTTATTGTGAATATCGAAAAACGAGCTACTTGTTTTTCATTATTCGCCAATATAGAAATCAAACGAAATAAGCCAGACATCCTCATGTATGATTTATAAGTTAGTTTTATTATTATTTGATTTAATGAAATGTGTTTCTCAATTATTCACTATGCATTCCTGAAATCTGTTTTATTTTTATATTCAAATCTGAATATCGAAAAACGAGTAGCTTGTTTTTCGTTATTCGCAAATATCAAAAAACTAGTAACTCGTTTTTAAACGAATATCGAGCTAACTTCACACTTTACTTTATTAAAAGGCAAAGGAAATCACTTCCTATAGCCAACATAGGTACATAATATAACATGATTATTACACAACAGAAAGGAACATAAGGATTATAAGGAACATATAATATAAAATAAAATCAAAAATGGGTGTGATATCTCGACTCTATTCACAATGAATTTGAAGTATGTCTAGAATTGATGGGTAGGGGTATCTCGACTCTATGGACACTGACTTGTACTTTAGATGTGGTGGGAATGATATCTCGACAATATGGACACCGTCTTTAAATGTTTAGAAGTGATGGTATGATATCTCGACTCTATGAACATATCGGCTTAATGTTTAGAAGTGATGGATATGGTATCTCGACTCTGTGAATAGATATTTACTCAAATGCATTTATTAGCACAGGTCGAGTTAATATTCGTAAATCCGTCACTTAATATATGAGACTGTGTATGTATTATGGGTATGTTGTATTACAATTTTAGCATGAGAAAAAACGTAACCCACTGTTGTTTCATACGATAACCCAGAAGGCTAATGTGGAATTTGAAATGTCTGTTTGCGATATATACTCTTCAAAAACAGCAGGGGATATTGAAATGCAAATACCTATGCAGGTTGCGATATGATAAATAGTCATGGACCTTTGACATGCTTTGAGAGTGTGTTCACAGATCAAGAACTTATCGCCCCAACAGAACCACTGAGCTGCACATGCGACACCCAATAGCGCCATACACGTGGGAGAGGTTCATTGTCAAATTTGACACTTCAAGGAAGGGTTGACGAAAACTGCCGCGTGCTGGTTTATCTATCCATGTTTGCTTTCCTATCGGTTCTTGCATAAGATTTACTGTTTAGCGTATCTTTGCTTTAGTGTGTTACGTTTGACCTCCAGCGTCACCATATTGTCCATATGCCATGGCCAGTCATGAGTCCTGACCTGTCCCCTGTAGAGCATGTCTGGGGCATGATCGGGAGACGTGTTCGTCGACTTCAACGTCAACCGACAACACTGCAAGAATTGGCCGTTGCACTGCAAGAGGAGTGGGTCAGATTGCCCCAACTCGTTATTGGACGGTTGATTAGGAGCATGCCACGTCGAATTGCTGAATGTCTGAGGATTGGTGGAGCAATTACTCATTGTTATGACAAAAATCAAAAACGTCCATTTTCACTTTTGACGGTGTATCTCTTTGCGAGTGACTTGGGGCCGTCAGATAAGCCGCCCATATGAACTGTTTATGTTCATGTGTAGGCAATTGGCCTGTTATTAACATAAACTGGTCTCCACAGTTTTGTATTGTTTCTGAATATCCCCTACTTTTTTAGAAGAGTATATTTTGGATACGCTTTTGTTCAAGCTTCGTCTATGATGTTTGGTTATCTTGAGGAGTCATGCATACGAATATTCAAATTACAAGCATATTTAAAACTAGATTCAAGCTCGGGAGGGGTGGGTTCTCTTATTTATGGAGGCAGGTGGTCACCCGCACTTGTAAAAGGTCATTGGGAAAAGCCCAATAATTGCAGCGTTTACCCCATCTAACAAATTCACCTTATCATTGCAAATAAAATGAATTTTATAAATCACTGTCTGATTTAAGGACATAGGAGTTACAAGTGCTTTTTACCCCTTTATTCATTATCTGTCATTTATTCATTACTCCGTCATTTATTCATGGAGTCTTGGTATCAACTGGGACTTCGAAATTTGAAGTGTTTTGTTGAGCGAGTGAGTGGTGTGTTTTTGAGTGGTGTGATGGGAGGCTGGTTGGTTGTTGGGTGATGTGAGGTTAGTTGTTGAGTGCTGTGATATGGTGAGATTGTATATATGTGAGTGGGGGGGGGGGTACGTTGTTGAGTGTATATAGGCCCTGACTTAAGAGGCTCATTTATGATACCCTTCTTCTCGTGACCCCTGAAGATTTTCTTAATTGGGGTCTTACAGACTTTCATAATGCGGTCAACATAAAAATGCGATTGAAGGCCAATTTCCTCAGACTTGGAATGTTTTAGGCTGCAGAGAAGAGCAATTGCCGCATTAAAATTCAAAATTAGGTTATTTCAGTTGACCTCATTCCAAACTCTAAAGTATCGTTTGGTAGCTCGATAAATAGGCTATAGTATGACACACTTCCTGTCTGATTCCTGAAAGCCGGTTCAGTGCTGCTTGCAGGTCTAGTTATTTTTAGGCTTTCAGACTTTTGTCTGAAAGCCTATTGAGATTTCTAAAATTATTATTAGGCTTTCAGACTTTTCTCTGAAAGCCCATTGGGATTACTAAAATTATTATTATTTATTAGGCTTTCAGACTGTTGGGATTA